AGGACCTCAGCGGCCAGGACCCAGCCCTGCAGTACCTAAGTTAGGTGTTAACAGAGCAGCACCAGACATCGTGGCTTGGTTCAATCAAGAGGAGCTGGTGTTGATGAAGCAGTCCCAATGTCAATCCACATGTCAATGGAGTCCCCAGCCGGGCATGGGAGCGGGCATGGCTGCACTGGGGACCAGCGGTCTTAGAATGTATCTCAGACAAGGACTTAAAGACTCAGGTCTTGAGCTTAAATGCAGCTCCTTGGACCAAAAGACAGGGCATGTAGTGGACGCTGCAGGTAAGGCTGGTCTGGGCCATTAATGCTTTCAAGGCCCTGGCGAATCCTCATGGAACATAATGTAGTATATCCCAGCCTGTCACATGGAGCAGCATTTGCCATTTCTGCTTTATCACAAATCTGTTGATAAACAGTTTTCCAATAAAAACCCCAAATCCTGGGCTCATGGGATCAAGGTACGTTAAGCAAAAGTGCAAAACCAGCATGCTTCTTACTTTCAAGAAACCCTTGAAAACCTGCCCCAGTCGCCTCCAATATTTCTTCTGAGGCTTCTCACTCTTGCTTTCTGAATTCCTGAGCTGGGCAATGACAGCAAATGGCAGCAGTGGCCACCCCCTCCATTGATATCTGAGTCCCCAGCGTTTCCAGGCTGCTTGGATGCAGGTTGGTGCAGCCAGAGCCCATTTGGCAGTGTGCTCTATCTTTTGACTTTCAAAGCTCACTTCAACCGTACAAGCCTATCAGGAAAACGAACCAGATGGTAACGGGACACAAAGGCTGACAATGGTACCCAGTAGGACACAAAGGACACCAGGTGGGACAACAGAATCCCTGGCTGAGCCCTGCAATGTGGGACCCTGGAAGAGGAAAAAATCTCCCTTCACCCTCATGCTGACTCAAAAGCTGGCATTGAGAGGAGGGCAATTAGAGCTGCCAATTGCTTTTCCTGCTGCAGCTTCCCCTTTGTCACTGCTATGAGACTGAGAGCCCATTAAGGAGCTGATAACACGGCTGTGAGCCCATGTCCCTCAAACGTGCTCACTGCTCCCCCCCCCCCCAGCAGAAATAAAGTGCCTAGACCATTCATTCAAGAGCCTGCTTCAGTTCATTTCCAATTCCTTCTTTCTCTTTAAACTACCCATACAGCAGGACCCGATTCACCCCCAGGCTGTTCCATTTGAGATTGCCCAAATATTCTACATAAAATTTCACCCAGACAACTTGTGTTGGGTTTGAATCATCAGATGCATAGAGTAGGCAAAGAGCCATTCCCACAGTGGGATAACATCTATTTAAACCTGAGCTCTTGTGTGCATTTCACTGCCATATTTTGTAGGCACATGATTATTCACCACTTAGTCACTGGGCCCTTTTACTTTGTAAATAAAGGAATAGCTCAGAGGTGCTTTTCCTCCCAGCCTAGAAGCCAGCACATCTCTGAGCACAAAAGTTCACATCTGTTCGTTCTAGCTAGCAAAACCAGACATTTACAAGTCCTCTGTATAGGGATCAGCTCTGAAGCAGTAGCATAGACAATAGCTCGGACCTTCTTGAAGACCTCTAAGTGCATCTTTCTTCTCCTTCCTCTGGCAGGAATATGGCAAGAATACCCTTTAAGTCAGAGATCTTGCAGAACAGTACTGGGGAAAGCCATATGGAGGTCTTTTCCTTATGCACATGTAGTGAGTTAGCCTTCTCTAACAGCAAACCCCCCCCCAGCTGCCCAGTCTCCTCCCTCAGATGGAAAGGGGGATAACACAGGAAAAAAACAGGAGCAGGAAAGCTCATGGACTGAGATAAAGCCAGGAAATTCACTTACCCATTACTGCTGCAGGCAAACCAGGCACAATCTGGGGAAAAGTAACTTCATTTATTGCCAATTAAAATATAATGTAATTTGGTTAATGGCAATCGAAAAGGCAAACATTAAACCAACATCTTTCCTGCCTTTCCTTTACCAGGCTTAATCTCACTGCTTCATTCCAGACCTCTCTGCTCATGCCCCTGCCAAAAAGGATGGACAAGGACAAACTCAAAGGCAAAAAAAAAAGCTTATAGAAGGTGGAAGGGAGGAGGAATACAGGTATATTGTTCAGGAAGCTAGGGATCAGGTCAGAAAAACTAAGGCTCAATTAGATTTGAGTCTGGCCAGGGCTGTCAAGGATAAGAAGGGCTTCTAGAGGTACATTGCTACCAAAAGGAAGACTAGGGATAATGTGGGACCTCTCCAGATGGAAATGGGAGAACTGGGCACCCCGGATTTGGAAAAGGCTGAGGTTCTCAATGACTTCCTTGCCTCAGTCTTTGCTGGCAAGTGCTCTAGCTACGCTGCTGAAATCACGGAACACAAATGCAGGGAGTGCGAGATTGAAGACCTAAACCCACTATAGGAGAGGACCAGGCTCGAGATCATCTAAGGAACCCGAATGTGCTCAAGTGCATGAGACCTGATGGAATCCATCCATGGGTCCAGAGGGAGCCGTTAATCCATCATATTTGAAAAATCATGGCAGGGAGGTGAAGCTCCCAACGACTGGCCAAAGGGAAATATAACCCCTATTTTCAAGAAAGAAACAAACCAGTCAGTCCCACCTCTGTGCCTGGCAGGATCATGGAGCAGATTCTCCTGCAAACCATGCTGGGGCACATGAGGCAATAAGGAGGTGATCCTGTCCCTGTTCTTCTCTCATGAGACCCCACTTGGAGCACTGTGAACAGCTCTGGTGTGCCCAAGGTAAGAAGGGCATGGAGCTGTTGGAGCAAGTCCAGAGGAGGCCAAGAGGATGCTCAGTGGCTGAAGCATCTCCTGTATGGAGGCAGGCTGAGAACACTGGGGCTGTTCAGCCTGGAGAAGAGAAGCTGCGTGGAGACCAGTTGAGGGTACACAGGTCTTTTCTGGAGGGAAAGAGCAGAGCCAGCAGCTCTCAGAGGGAAGGTCAAGAAATAGAGGGGCAATGAGTGAACTCTGCAAAATCACACTGAGCTAGGGACTGAAACAAGCTCTGCAGAAAAGGAGTTAAAATGAAGAAGGAATGGGATGACAATGTGCAATATGTAAAGAGCAGGGCTTACCTGCAGGTGCCCTTCTTTGATTTGGAGAGTATCTCTGCACAGGCTGTGAAGACAAGCCTGGGAAGGATGGTAACAGGGACAAAGGAAATAGGGGTTCCCAGAAACAAGGAGCCACACAGGGGTGAGAAGCTTGATCAGTCTTCTGCATCCCCCTTCAGGACACAGCTCTGGGCACAACACAGGCTGCAGAGGTTCCACTTGAGTATTTTGAGCACTGTCCATGCCTGGGCTACTAGTGGAGATACTGAAAGGAAGAGATGCTATTGAAGAGAATATCCTTACCTGTGAACACCTGAAGAAGGCAATATGATGGCAGGACCCCCAAGGTACATAATCCCTCTGGATCTGGTGTATTAACTAAGGGCATGACCATGCCCTCCTCTTTAAAGAACATTCATAATGTACTTCACGTGATAACGGCAGCTTATTCTTAACATTTCCAGCTCGCTGTGTGTTAAGGATACCCTCTCCCCACCTCCCCATTGTCCGCTCTGCTATGTTGTTTGAGCCATGAAAGCACCACCAATCCTGCCTTTTGGCTCTATCCCTGGACAGATGCTGCATTTCGAGGAGGGGTGAGGCATGGCTGATTAATCTGTGCTCAGAGAGGCTGGTTGCTGGGATTAGTGCTTCAGATGCTCTTAACATCTGCAGCTGCAGGACAGCTCCGAATTCACCAGCACTGGAAGCCAGAGGGTAGCATCAAGGCTGGTAAGAGCTGTTATGGGGGGAGTTGTCTATCGAATTGCTGCTGCCAGGTAGCAAGACAAGAGGGACATTTATGGGAAACGTGGCTGCCATCCCAGTATCTTGACACTTCCATGCAGTTTCTTGGCTATGCCTGTGTTTCCCAAGACTAAGCACTGTGCTGTTGGCTGTGCAGAGGGAACAAGGCTGAGAAGCCAAGGAAAGGGCTGGAAGGACCCCACAGAGCAGGCACAATGGAAACGTGTCAGCTCTGAAGGTCCTGAAGGTCCAGTTCCTTGTGTTTGGGAGGTGGGGTGAGTGAGGAAGCCCCAGAACTTGGGGTCAGCCCTTGCAGCAAACATAAGGTGCTGCCAAACCAGAGGTGGAAAGAGGGAAGGTGTTACTGTGGACTTACCTTATGTGGTTACTGTGGTTTATCTCCCTGTCCAAAACCAGTCCCTCTCTGCTGGTCTGCTTATCTGAGCTGGGCTTCCTTACCCTGCGCTTGCCCCCTTGCTCTGACTCAGTTTTTTTGCCCTGCACTAACTCTTGTTTGCCTTCATCACAGACCTTTACAAGCCTTTTGTTTCCGGAGGCAGACAGCACAGGGAATTAGAAGAGACTTCTGAGCAGCCATGGACGGCTTACAGCTGCAGGTAAGGCTCACCTTGTGCAAATCACAACCTCCTGCCACCCTTCAGGCTGCCCAGTGGCTCAGAGGAAAGGAAATACCAGCTCCACCTATGCACAGTGACACAGACATTCCTGATAGCTGGGAAGGACTCCCTTGGGGGGGACTCCAGGAGTCTATTCAGGATTAAGCCCACAGAGTGCTTGAGCTCCTGCCTTAAGCTCCCTCTGCCTCCCCTTCCTGCAACAGCCCGAGCCTGCCCTGGCTGGAGGCATGCAGGGGCCGTCCATCCCATGAGTTAATCGCCTCCTGTTCAGATGTTAGGAGGAGATGAAGCTGCTATAAATAGACCGCGAAGCCCTCATGGGTTCAGCTGTGATTCGCACACATGGCAGAGAAGCATTAGGGAGAATTAACAGTCAATCACTCAGGCCCTTTCCTAAGCATGAATGCCATTCTGTCCCTGGCACTTAATCTTGCCCAGGGGAGGTCAGCAGCGCTTTCTGCAGAGTCTGAAGGTGTCAAGTGGACAGGGAAACCCAGAGCAGGGCTCTCATGAGCTAAAAGCAGCCAGAGTGACTGCACAGCACCTGCCCGTGATAAGCATGGCAAAGCATCCTGCTCCCCTGCCACTGGGGCTCAGATCAGACGGGGCGGTTTTCTTACGGTGTGCGTTCGCTGGGATGCCTGACAACAGCCTTTGGGACTGAGACGGCTTTTGGTGATGGTACGTGCAGGGGACTGGGCTCTTTCTGGCTTTACCTAACCAGTGTTGAGATGTGCCTCTGACCTAGTGGCCCACAGGGTCTGTGATAGTCTGATTAGATAAGTGTGATGGGGCAGGACTGTGTACCTGGGCGGTCTGTGTGACATCCCAATATCCCCCCTACCCCAACCCAAGATTTTCAAAGATTAGGGGGAAAAAAATAGAGCTACATTTCCCCCATTCCCATGGGAAGCTATATGCACATATTCCTGCATGCATTTGCATTCATTTTCTTGTATTCAAGTGTTTGGTAGCCTCCCTCCCCTTGCCTTGCTGTGTTTATGCTGTTAGCAGTGATGGTCATGGAGTAATGCAGGTGAGATGGAGAAACCAGCTGAAAGGGAGGCGAGACCAGACAGGTCCTGGATATGAATAGAAGGAGGTATCTACCTACCTGTTTGACTTACAGTCCCCCAGGTACAAGGAAAGAGTGGCATTTTTTCTTGCAATACCTTGGGCTTAGAGGGTAGAGCATCTCCTCAGGTTGATGAAATTCCCTCTCACTTTGCATATTAGATGCCCCATCAGTAAAAGAGAGATCCTTGTCTCTTGTTTCATAGCATTGCAACAGTTTTATGGCATCACCGCTACATTGTGGGTCAGAGGATGAAAGAGATGCTCAGAGCACTTATCATCCACAAGAGGTAAAGAGGAGTCTGGACAAAAGGGATGAGAGTTCAGTGTTGGGATCTTTGGGTGCTCCGTTAGTGGTCTAGGGAGTCTGGAGCTCGTGAGATGAGACATATACCAGAAAACTTCTTCTTTTCATCCTTCTCTTAAGGACTGAGGAGTCAGGGTTTTTCAGTGAAGAAAGGAAAGAGGCAGACCAATGCTCAGAGAGTCTTCATGTTGCTATGGAAGTTACCTTATTATGATGGGGCTAAATCTAAGATAGTCACCCCATGACTACTCCAGAGCAAAGAGAGCTATATCCTGCTCCATGCTGCAGGGAAACAGCATCTCATTGCAGCTCTAGGCAACATCCTTCAGCATAAACTGAAGCCTGCCAGCATGGGGGTGATTAAAGAGATCTCAATACACACGGTTCTCCTTGCGTGGGTATGATCTCCTGCCTAATGAGGCACTGCATGAGGTTGGCATATCTAAACCAAGCTGATTTCGGTGTCAAAATGGCATTCCTCTATTTAGGAACATGTCACTTGGGCTGGAATACGGACTGCATGTGTGCTGAGGAGCTGAGGTCCGAGTGGGTCTGAAGGCACCTGTATGGTCTTAACTCACCCTTGAAATGTTAATTATGTTATGGAAGAACCTGAAGGAAAATTGCCTTCAGGAATTTGTGTGGGAATGACTGAGCAGGCTAAAGGGCTTTGGAAATAATTGTGTTGTATTTCCATTATTGTACTGAAAGTGGAATTGTACCCTAGAGTTTCAGCAGGGGCCAGATTCCTCAGCTGGATCCTTAAAAAGCCACAGAGCCGTATTCAAGTCTGGAAGTGGCTTTGCAGTTTCCTTAGCTGTGAGAGACGAGGCTCCATTGAATTGCTGAAGCTTTTACGTGGACAATCTTGTATCTCAAGGAGGAAAAAACGGGCCATGTGAAAATCTGAAGGGAGTATTTCAGTCTGTCCGTCCTACAAGTGAGCCCAGACACCCCGAAATAGCTTGGGAATGTGGACCATATTGGATGCAAATGGCAGGCCATATGTTGTATAACATTCATTGCCAAACTTTCAAAAGCACCTCATAGTTTGTCATCTGTTCCTTGCTTTTCTCCACCATTTAGATGTCAGTACCACCGACCTGGATGGTCTCCAGTGTTGGGAGACCTGCATGAACTCAAAATATTAGCCAGTTTTCCAAAACATGGCATCTATAAATGCCAAGCTTACAGATGGTACATGATGCAATGGGAATTACAGGCACAAAATAGAAGGGTAAATGCAGTTCATGGCAAAAAACTCAGTCATTCATTTATAAAAGCTGGATCTCCTCACATGATATGGCCTAGTGGCTGCCATGAAGATGCTGGACTGCTAAAAAAGGGGTTGGAAAGATACAAAGGTTGAGAAAGGAGGAAACTAGAGCTGTAACAAAGAACTCTGCTAGTTTGGGCTGATGAGGCTCACCAGCAGGGAGGGGAAAAGGCAACACGTGTGCATGTTTGTCTACATGAAGAAGACCAACTAGGTAAGGAGAGTAACATCTCATAAACATCATTGGAAGAGAAGTCAACCCTGGTTCCAGTTTAGAGTGTGGGCTGGTATGCCCAGCTCTGGTGCCACAATAGTGCTGCAATTGGTCCCCGTCTCTTCAGTAGCTTTATTCTCCAGTGTAGTGTGCTCCTTTCACACAGCTGATATGCACAAGAGGCAGTTTTTCTCTCTCTGAGACCATATAATTTCTGCTTACAGCAGGCATCCAGCAGCCGGAGTCTCCTCAAGTTTGCTGTTATGGAGGTGAAGTGGATTCATGTGTTGGGCATCCTCTTCTTCGTGTTGTCTGTTGCAATGACGGGCTGCTTTCTGTGGCAGTACAGCCTTCCCAAGGTGGAGCCCAGTGAGTAACCATCTTTAATCTTGGTCATGGTTTGGCACAGAAGCTCCTGAGACCAATAAATGCCTTTCTCCCCGTGTGGATGATGTTCTTCAAAGAGCATTTCCTCAAGCAGCACACAAATTTGCTTCCTCCCAGCTGGTACAAGGGCAGAGAGGAGATGAACACGGGGCTGATGGGGTACCACGTAATTCTGTTGGCATCCAGAGAAGCTCCATTACTTCTGGCACTAGCGTCAGCTAATTGATATGCCAAGCAGATATTTTATTTTATATTCTCTATTATATTGTAAAAGTCCCTCCAGTTTACAACACACTTTGTTTTACACCTCACCATGTGCTTCAGCTTATGGGTTCTCCCTTTCCTAGTCCCATAATCTGAAACCTCTGAACTGGCTCAAGTCCTCGGTTCACAGACCACTGCCTAAAAAGATTGCAGACCCAAAGTTTTATCACAGAATATTGGAGGCTGCCTGTAGGCTCTTGTGCATCAATCCTCATCCATCTCAAAGTTCTCATGTGTATTTCTAGTGCTTCGTGCTTCGATGGTAAGTGAAAAGATAAAGACACGTTTTGTTTCCAGTTTACAGAGCAGAGGAACTGTATTTATGAACACCTTGGGATCAACGGAGAAAATAGTGCCTCCAAGTAAGAGATTTCCCATCTCTCACTGAGTTGAAAGATCTCTGCTTGCCACAGAAATTTAAGATATGTCTCTGGCATACGCAGGTTACAGCTAATTCGAGGACAGCTGACATACGAGGTATGCAGCGTATCAGCTGCTATAGTGCTAGATTTCAGTTCACTTCTACATCTATTTTCTAAGGTTACGGTATGCATGGAACATCTCTGTCCTGAATCCAAACTCAGACTTTACCCTAGACACAGGCAGGGGTCTAAACCCACTATCAGATACCCTACAGAGTCTTCCACAGTCCCAGATCCTTCCTCTTCCAGGTTGCAGTCAGTTGAAGCCTACTGCAGTTCCTGTCCATCCCACGTCCAACCCATGTTGGAACAAGCAATAACAGAGCACGGTGCCCTCTTCAAGTTCTGTTTTATGTGAGATAGAAACAATCCATTATCTCTTTCCTGTGCAGAAGTGTCCTTCAGCTTTGGACAACACAAGCAAGACAGCTAGTGCTGACTGCTGTATGAGGTCAAAGCTTGTTAAAGTGCCTATTGAGGTCATATATTGTACCTTTGAAATGCCTTCCAGGCCCATCTGTGATGGAAGTGAGATCAGAAGCCGTGCAGATGTGCCCCCGCTATCCTGAACCAGTACCCCTGGACCACCCAATCCCCATTCTGAAGGATGCATTGGAGAAGGTCTGTGAGAAGGGAACAGAGGGAGAGAGCTTCTGACTGCTTTTCTGAAGGTGTAAAGGGGAGAATATTTTGCCCCTTAGCATCTGTGGGGCAGGAGGTGGGAAATCAAGGAAGTGAAGAACGTGTGAATCTGAAAATGGGTATTTAAAACTTCCCTGAACCTACAGAACAGGTCACTATGCAGTTATCCTATCCAAAGGGTAAGCTATAATGAAATAGCATTGTCCATCAGAAGGTGTGGAGATCAGATATAAGCAGAAAATGGCAGCTTTTGGCATCTTCTATACTATTAGGCAGCCCCCATACCCTGGGAAGTAAGTGACTCATGTAACAAGTTCCTATTCATCAGTGGCTGCCAATTCCTTATTTTACTGCTTTGCTGGCTTCCCCCATGCTACCCTTTAAAAATCAAGAAGCTATTTGTAGGTAACTACAAGGAACAGAATGAAGGGAAAGGAGAAGAGGAAGGGGACCTGCACATGAATGAGAGAGACCTGCTTTTCTTCACTATGATATACTGCCTCTGAAATATTAGCACTGTCTGACATTCTGGTAGGCTCTATTTGTGATGAAGAAATACTGCTTTATTTCCTGTATGACTGTATGGACCATAAGGACAGCCATGCTCTGACAGGACATTCCCTATCACATGTCCTTTTTTCTTGAGGTGCTTAGTTATCAGAGCTGTTTCGTGGCACGAAAAGTGTCGTGGGATGTTTGACAAGTCGGGATTGTTTTCTCATACATCTTTGAATGTAAAGAGCAGATGTGCACAGGACAGTTTAAAAATGAAGAAATTGCAATTATAGGTTTTAGCATTTGGTTGCAATTATAGAAGCATCACAGGCATTACAAGGATGATCACCACATTCTTCTATACGGTGGACATGTAGATTGAAAGAAAGATACTGAATAATTCAGCCTAAGCAATTCAAAAGAATAGTACAGTTAAAATATTTTCTTTTGGCAAAATCCATTTGGAAAAACCACTTTCAAGTGCTTGGAAGTAAGGAGGGCTGATGGTCTGGTTCTTCTACCACCTGTAACAGACTGTATGCATTGTAAGGCTCTTGGTTTGGAAATTCATCCTTTCCCTCCATTCCCCAGGTAGATATGATGCTGCGCCAGAAGATTCATAGCTCTGGTCTCCCTGCCATGTCTGCCATTGTTATCTACAATGACACTGTGCTTTGGACAGGCAACTTCGGGAAGAAGAACGCTTCGGACCCCTCCTCAGTGGTGCCCAATGAATACACTATTTACAGGTGAGACAGATGTATCACAGGCCTAAGTGCTAGGAAAAGAGCAGGTACACATAGCTGGTAACTGGGTAGAACCACTGTCACAAACCACATCTTCTACTGCCTCAGGTCCGCTGCAGAAACCTCTTCTGTGAAAACCTGAGAGACAATGCTTCAGCTAGACCGTAAATCATGCTTGTGGCTCACTGAGTTGTTTCCTTTGGATTTTGGTTTTCATTATTTTTAGTTCAATCTGACAAGATTTTAATGGCAAGAGCTGAGAAGTGAAGAAAATTGGTCTAGTGAAAAACGGGGTTTGGGAAGAGTAGCTATGGAACACGTAAAGACCTGTGCACTTACACATCTCCTAGTGAAGTCAAAGCCATGTTGACCATTACTTTTTAGACGAAGATAGAATCAAGCTCATAGCGTGTGGTAAAAAAAACCCAAAACCTAATATAGAGGAAGTGTTTGCTTCCTTTAAAGATCTATTATTGAATTATTATTAAATTAATTATTATTAAATTAAATAATTTATTATTATTATTAAACTGCATTATAACTGTTGTGTGTATGAAACATACAGGGTGCACACTTACTGTCAAATATTGTCCTCAGAATATACAATTTAGGAAATTACGGTGATTACCTGTTTTTTCCCCCTCTGTATATCATGATATCATTTTGTTTGGAAGGGGCCTTAAAGGTCATGTAGTTCCAAGCCCCTGCCACTGGCAGGCATAGGAGAACCCATCTCTGGGTGGGCTTGAATCACCAACCTTTCAGTTAACAGCCGAATGCGATGACTGCATGATGGAGACTCCCCCAAAACCCTATTGCCAGTCATCATGATTTGTGGTTGGAACTACCCCAGTATCTGATCCTCTGACTTGTGCTCTTGATTAATTAAAACATCCTTGGCAAATGCTTTCACTCTCTGCTGTCTTCTGTTGGTCCAAGAGTTTCACTTCTAGCAGCACAATATGAACGTGCCTGGCCATCCCTCTTAATCATGACCCTGCTTCTGAAAGCCAGCAATATAGAATCAAACTCATACTCCAGAAGGCCTTTTGTAAATCTGGCGCTGTTCTGAAGCCACCCAAATAGCAACTCTGAACATGAACTGTAAAACTTTATGGCCTTTTAACCTGAAAATTCTAATAAACTACTTGCAATTTGTTGTGGTATTTACTAAGCAATAATTTACAAAACATTATGTTGTATGAATATTAAATGAACAGGAAAAGATCTGTAGCCCACTGCACTACTAGGGACATACTCCTGAAGTTTATGTTGAAGTCTGTAAAAGCCAGAACTAGGGATATTAATTCAAGGTTCTTACTTGCATTTTAGCCATTCCCTTTTGAACTAGCAAAGGTGCAGCAGGTAGAGCTACAGGCAGTAAGTCCGTTGGGTGATCTCTTCTTCCTCTCAAACCATGGGGTTTTGATGCTTAATTTCCATCAATGTTTGTTCCTTACTAGAATTGCCAGCATCTCCAAGATCTTCCCCACCATTATGTTGTACAAGATGTGGGAGGAAGGGAAAGTCACGTCTCTTGATGATCCATTGGAACGCTATGCCCAGAACTTTGTTATTAAGAACCCTCTGGGAAGGCTCAAGGAATCGGAGCAGAGACACACAGCAGATGGGCTGGTTTTCCTGGAAAAAGGCTCAGTGCCACTTAAGCCATCGCCTGTTACCTTGCGCAGAATGGCCAGCCAGCTCTCAGGTGAGACAACACTGCTGCCTGCTTGCCCTCTGCCCACCGCTGTACCACCTGGAAGAGTCCATAGTGAGAGCAGACCGTGTCCTAGGGATAAAAAGGGTTGCTGTTGAGGCCATTTCACCTTTGCATGTCCCAGAGGTCCGACAAGACCCTTGGAAGCAGGCTGTCAGTAGCTTCATCAGGTATTAAAAGGAACCTCTTGTCCAGGCCGCCTGCTAGGAAAGGGGCCAAGCTGCACAGTGGGATGGGGAACTGCTTTTCCTGTGCAAGGTGAATACATATTTCTTTCAACACAGTAGCATGACTGGGAGTCAGGCCCCAATTGCATAAGGAGTTTTTGTCCTCTAGTCCAGAGTGCTTTCATTTCTCTGGGATATAGAGTTGATGGTCAAAGTGGCACCATCCGTCTTTGCTTTGAGCAGATGCACCTTGACCATTGAGCAAAATTGAGCTGTCAGTGGGGTTCCCAGTCTGGGATTCCTGAGCTATTGCTTGTAGAAGCCTGTTAATCTGCTGCTGCCTTCGTAATTGGGTAATTCTTACGTTAAGGTTGAAGGAGCTCACAGGGCTCAGGAGAACTTGAACATTTCTCAGAAAGAAAGCTGCTAATACTTGACTCAAATATTCCAGAATTTATTGACCAAAGAAACTGCCGTTATCCCATGTGGCATTTGAATCAAACTCTGTGGGACCTGCATTATTCCAGATTGGAATAAATGCCCTAAAATTAGGATTTAAGATCAAAATAGCATGCAGGCAAAATGCAGTACCTGAGGACAGGGTAGAGCATCACCTGAAAGTAGCCAGTATCAAAACAAGGGTTCCCCAAAAAGGAAAGATGTGACTGGAAACAAAGAAAGGACCCGAAGTGGCCATGCAGGAGGCAGAAAGATGTGTGCCCAGCTCTGCCCAGCTCCTTCCCATGAAGACAGGCTCTTCCTCTCGCAGCCTGATGATGTCCTCAGAGACACAAACTCTGCCTGCTCCCCTCTGACTCTCAGGAGCTGAAGCTGGCCTGGGTGCTCCTTGCAGGAGCAGCGTGTGCTGGGGCTCCCTTCCCAACCTCGCTGCAGTTCCCTGTCACACAGTAAGGTGCGAGGGATGCCCCAGAAACACTTGTAGGAAACGTGTCAAAAGTGTTCCTGGTCATAGCGTGTTCATTTGTCAAGTGCAGCCATTCCATCACTACCATCACTGTGCTGCATTTGTGCCCCTGCTTAGCTCCTTTTACATCTTTTACATCCCTATATCTTTTTTTTCCTTGTTTTTTTTTATAGAATGTGGCCCAAATTTCCCAGAGCACACCAGCAGCCCACAGCAACCAGCTTGGACCCTTAGAGTTCAGTACAATGAGAAGCAGAGTTTAAATTCCCCATTGAAAATCCAGTGAATGTTGAGGTCACGTTACACTTCCTGTCTGTCAAAAATCAAAAGGAAACAGGTTCTGCTTAACATCAAAATCAAAGCCGCTGCATGACATAATGTGAAGTGGTTTTTATCTGAATTCTTCCAGTGCAAACTGATCTATAATATATCCTTATTATCAGGGCTTTTCTTGATTGCATATTACAAAAGCAAGGCAAGAGATTCTGCTCCAAAACACTTGATGGGTACATTGCTAGGGAGAAGCTCCAGCTTGTTAAAACTATGATTTTCTAATGGATGTGAATGCCAGGATGAGACACTAATGTAAATGAGCAGCAGTGTGCTTGTCACTTCACCAGTTAGCAGCCCATGCGGTATAGATCAAGGACTGGATTTTCTGTGATGCTCACACATTCTCTGGTTTATCCTTTCTAAGGAACCTCAAGAGAGACATGGCAGTGCTGTCAGGTCACTGGTGGTGCAGCAAGGTCTGCTGCCATTGTGGCAAGTAGGGAATGAAGGAACCCGCTGACTACTGGAAGACGGTCACTGCATCTCCTCTCTGCTCATTCAGCTGCACAAATAACCACAGACCAGAAGCAGGAAAAGTGCTCTCATTCCAGTTCAAATCCCAAGGCCAGGCCACTTGAGATGAGCAGCAGCTGCTGCAAAGGAATAGGGCCTTAGTCAGCTTTGCCATGATTCGACATGTAGTCACTGAGCAGACAATTGCAAGTCATTTCTCTGTCCTGTACCCTTACTGCTTTCCTCCTAACCTCTTCGTCAAAGTCAGCTCTAAACTGCAATGCGGATTTAATTCCAGATGTAATCCAGGTGCTTGCAGCACATTTGCTGTGTGTATGAAGCACACGTGGGCATCGGTGTTACTTCCATCGTGCTTTTGAATCTTGCCTTTTGCTCCCTCTTCATCACACTGAAAGTTTTCCTGGACCATCTCCTTGTCTCACCCTGTTTCCTCTTTTCCATGGCACAGGTCTGCCCAGGAGGCTGCGGTCTACCAGCCTGCTGTGGAAGGGCAATACACAAGATGCTCTAGCTCTCCTGAAAGACGATGTCTTGGTTGTTGATCCAGGAACGAGGTCAGATATATCCACTTGCAAGTCTTTGATCGGGGTTTGTGTTCTCCACTGGTATCAGCCTCACCGGCAGTCTCTGTGGGCCATGGATAAAAGACAGCCATTCCTAGAGGGAGCTTCAGCCATCTACCCATGCCCTGTCTTAGGTTGGAAGGAGGGACTGGAGGTGCCAGGGGTTCTTTTAATTTGCATAGAGCTTGAGTGAGAAGCCTAGATGAGGCAGATTAAACTTCTATAGTTAGGTCCAATGAGCCTTAAACTGTGAAAGATGCAGATTTTCAACAGTGGAAAGGCACGTTCATTTAATCGTTTTATTTCACTAAAATCATGCTATGTCCATAGTGATTTGCATTTTCCTAAATTACCTAGTTCTATTAATGTCTGTCACAGGTTACATAGCCTCTTAAAAGTCTATTACCTGAGTTACAAACACTCAAAAATACAAACAGCATCCAGCAGGTGAAGGATATTATGCTCACCATTAAAGGATGTAAGGACATCCACTCCTAGACTCTCAACCCCTCATTGCTTGACATGTTGATAGTTTTAACACTGTCTCCTAAGATCATTTTTCCTCAATGAAATTCCCATTCCCTGATATAGAAACCTTATCGTATTTTTCTTGGGGTGCTTATTTCAGATAGAAAATTCTAGATCCAGAATGTGCTTATTCTTGGGTAGAAATATGTATGCTCATCATGCTTGCGTTCAGCTAGATGGGCTGGAAACGATTGAAGCGGTACCAGATTTATGATGTAAATAAATCTGATCAGGCCTCGGTGAGATGTGGGGATTTACACAATTAAAAATAAATAAAGCCAACAATGCTAAAAACACCATGAACTTCAAAATGCGTTTGAAAACTCTTGCCCATTTATGTCTTCACGCTATTAAACTTCGTTCAAGCGCAAAGCCTTAAATCACTTTGTGGATATTAAAGACTGAAGCACTCAGGTGTCTCTGATGACTCAGCGTTGCTGGATGCTGCTTTGTAGAATTTTAAGTGCTTTTTAAGTGCTTTTATCTTAAGGTAGCTTAGGTGCTTAAACAATTATACCATGTTAAATCTCCAAAGAGGCTTACCTGGGATTTTGAGACCTTTACAGAAAGCACTTGTAACTTTCAGCTCTGTTCTTAAAAAGAATGGATATATTGTTTGGTGGAAAATGATGAACAATAAATCAGATATGCAGATATATAGGGTTTTTGCATAAAAGGTTTTTTTGTTTTCCATCTCCAGCCCTCTTCCTGTACATAGTGGTTAAATAGAATCATAGAGCAGTTAGGGTTGGAAAGGACCTTAAGATCACCCAGCTCCAACCCCCTGCCAAGGGCAGGGACACCTCACACTAAACCATGGCACCCAAGGCTCTGTCCAACCTGGCCTTGGACATCACCAGGGATGGAGCATTCACAACCTCCCTGGACAACCCATTCCAGTGCCTCAGCACCCTAACAGGAAAGAGCTTCCTCCTTATATCCAATCTAAACTTCCCCTGTTTAAGTTTTAACCTGTCACCCCTTGTCCTGTCACTACAATCCCTGATGAAGTCCCTCCCTGGCATCCTTATGAGCCCCCTTCAGATACTGGAAGGCTGCTCTGAGGTCTCCATGCAGCCTTCTGATGAAGTTTCTGTATGAAATTCCTTTCTTAACAACAAATCAAGGCAGCCACACTCAGTTTTCCTTTGTCCCTCTTGCATCTCTCCTCCCTTTAGCGTGTCATCTGATAAAATGAGAGATTTTCCCCAGAGAAGGGAGACCTAGCTACTGGTTTTGCATCCTCATACCCACATTGGATCATGGAAGTAAGGCTGATCCAGATACATTCCTCTTCCTTTTCAGATGTCACTACAGTAATTTGGCCTTCTCACTGATGGCACATGTGCTAGCTGACCACGCAGCGGAGGGGCAATACCAGCGCTGGGTCTCAGAGAACATCCTGGACCGCTTGGGCATGGAGGACACTGGCTTTGACATCACACCACCGATCCGATCCCAGATGGCTGTGGGTTTCTATGGCAGCCGGCAGCCAGCCCCTCTCTATGACCTTGGCTGGTACAGACCTTCTGGCCAGATGTACTCCACAGCTGCTGACCTTGCCAAGCTGGCAATGGTCTTCTTAGGTACCTACCACCGCCGTCTCCTGGCACCTGACACAGTGAAGACGATGCTCACCCCTCTGTTTAAATGCTCCACGGAATACTTTGCTAACAAGACCGGCACACCCTGGGAGATTAATGAGCAATTGGGATACGATGTCATTAGGAAGGATGGAGACCTCGATGGCTATTCAGCAACCTTCTCCCTTATCCCCAAGCTCCACCTGAGCTTCATTGTGCTGATGGCAGGGCCCAGGCCTCAGGGTGGGGATATTGTGACTCAGACATATGAGCATCTTATTCCTGCCATGGAGACGGCATTCAGAGAGGCAGAGAAAAGCTTGATTCCTCCTCCAAGTCCAGGCCCTTATGTTGGCTACTACACCTATTCCAATCTGACTTTCTATGAGATCAAAGTTGGAGCTGGTGGGGTGCTGGTCATGCAGCAGTTTGGGCCTCATGTGGAAGAGCTGATTCCTGAAAAGTACCGGACAATCAAGCTCCACCACCTGGAAGATCGTGTTTTCCAAGTTGTTTTTGACAAGGAGTTCCCATGTGTTCTGCACCTGGGCTCTGCTTCCATCTCCCTGGAGACCCAAAACGGGCAGCTCTTTAACTTTTACCCCTTCGATCGCAAAGGTTTGTCTCCTGGTTTTGATGCGCCAGGGCTGAACACGTACAACGTGGTGCGTGTGCTTCGTAAACCTGTATTCTATAGCTAAATGTCCCCCTGCTTTTCTGGACCCTTCTGGGACATGGCTCCAATTCTCTGTCTTACCAGACTCTCCTGTCTGTGTGGCTTTATGGAGCTATTTAAAAGGGAAAGATGGTTGCAACGGACAATTGCCCAAACAATATGTCACATCCCACTTCTAAAACTACTTTAATGGCTTGCAATCCCTGGCAGTGCACAACGGGCCAGCTAGCAACTGAGGATGCTTGCAGAAAACAGAGGTGGGAATGTGCTGGATGGATGGAATATGGAAGGAAAAAAAGAAAGACAAGCAATTAAGACTCCACACTTACACTGTCTGTTCGATGACCATTGTGGTGATTGATGGAATCATCACAGGGCTGAAAATTCCCTCTGTCTCTCAGAAAATGTATCTTCTTCAGCCCAGGGCTCTTCAGGAGCTCATCTAACATGAAGAGGATTCCTCACCTGGTTAAGCCAAAAGCATCATGTGCTAGAAAATGACACCAGCCTACAAGCCCTGCTTGTGACACCTGGGAAGTGAGGGTCCATTTCCTTCCTGGATCACATGGAAGCTGCGGAAAGAGCATCCAGGGTGGATGGATTTCTGCAGAAGTGGTGGGCACACAAAGGATGTTGAAGCATTTCAGTATTAAAGCTGAAGCTTACTCATGTGAGCGGGCACATATGAACTTACGCTGGTATATTCCAGCGGGACTCAAGTTTGGGTCTATGTCAGTATATAGGCAACTGTGTGAGTGTGGCATTTAAGTACAGGAATGCGTGGGAATGCGTGCTTTGGGTAGGGTGTCTGTAGGCATACATACCCGTGAAGGAGGATGCTAAGGGAAAGTGCGTTAGCCAGCAGAAGTCTACCTTTAGGACAGGTACAGCAGCAAGCAATCTGCAAAGCCACAGGTGCAATTTCTTCTCCCTGCTTGTGCCCACTCAATGCCAACACCGTATCGCTATGATGGGAGCAGGGTCAGGCACGAGTGCAAGCAGAGCAAGTGCCCCTGACTGAGGGCTCCTGCAATGCCCATGCAAGTTTGGGAGGATATTGTGATTGCAGCCCTAACTAGACCCTGAAATTAAAGCAAGCAGAGGGTCAGGGCAAAGATAACTCTTACCTTAAAATGAATAGCCATCTGCAGAATGGCTGTACAGGCTGGAAATCCTGAAGGCAATGCAAAAGGGTAGGCAGCCTAGCACGATCAAAGACCCTTCAAAATGCATGTTCCCATATGCCAGAACTGAGTTTAGATCCTCTTGCAGAGTGACTTCCTTCTACTGCATGTTTGCTCAGTGTCTCGAAAGCGGACGTGTCTCAGAGAGGATTAGAAAATTCCTCTCCCTGCCTCCCTTTCCTCTTGTCTTTCACTGTTTTCACTCTGTGGGCAGGTTTTCAGCTTCATTTTTGGGTACAGAGACCATCACTGAAGGCCTAGAAAACTGTGATCTGCAGACTCGGCTCCCTGCCTGATAAAGATATGAAATAACGTGAACCTTGCCTTACAGGTAGTCATCGTTGCTGCTTTACTGGTTTCCTCTGGACTTCGTAGGTAATTACATTTCATGTGTAATATGAACATCACATGCTCAAGTATTTCACCTGGGCTCTAGAAACAGCAATAAACTCTATGCAAATTCTTGCTGCAGTCATGTATGCTCATGCCCAGAGGTGTGCAGGCAGATACGTTGCACTAGGGTTGATTTCCTGTAGAGGTGCCTTTTCTCTCCATGGCATGCCTGACACAACATTGCTTTCCAGGCTTTGAACTCACAAGATGTAACAGTTGATTGCAAGATATTCAAGCAGTTTAACGCTGGTCTTTTTGAGTGAGGGCTACGTGCCAGTTTGGGGCAGTTCTTGCTTTGGAACAGAAGAAGTGGTGGTTTACCCACCAGCTGCCTCTAAAAACTTCCAAGAATCATTAGGATTTATACCCCATGGCACTGTCTAGTCAGGATGCCGCAGCACTGGGATGTCTCCATCTGCCTGATGGAGAGGATAGGATGTTTTGCTTTTCCATCAGGACCGCAGACACTAACGAGTCTTTCCTTTGCTAGTGAGTCACCCTCAGACCTGGACACCGGCTCTGTTTGGTGCTCTTGTTCATTCTCATTAACAGCAAGAGAGGTGGATGACCAGGCAGCCTGACGCCTGCAATATACCTCAATGCTGCATCTTAGCAGGTGTCGGTCCTGAGCTGGAGCAGCTCTGCTTTGCTCTCCAGCAATGCAATGCACTTTGTGCCAGTGTTGCTGCCTGGAAGCCCTGTTCCTGATGTATACGGTGCCACTTCACATGCTGTTAGGTGCAGGAGCTTTGTGTGAACTGTGAGGCACTGTGGTTCACTCAGTCCCAGTTTCTGGCATCTCCCACCCACAGGCTTGTAAAACGGGATTGTTGTGACTTCATTTTGAGCAATTCAGTCCTGCAGTCGGAGTTCTAACCTAAAAACTGACCCTGTCTTCCATCCCTCCTGACCCAAGATCTTCCTGACAAACAGCCCAGCCCTTTACAACCTTCTTTGCTCCCAGCTGACACATTATAACTGACTTTTCACTTTGCTTCAGCTGGAGGGATGTCTGATATGAAATCAAGCCATAACACGTCACTATATGCATAGCATAAGTAAAATATACTGGAAAAACTGAAAGTGGTGTATTTTCCTCTTCAACTCCAACCCTGTGATGTCAGCATGCCCATAATTGCACGTAATGACTACTATGATATTTTTAAGAAAATTTGTGAATTTCTTCCAAATCATTTAAATCAGCCTGGTCTGAAATATCACCAGTTCTTTGGGGTTTCACCTCCTAGTTCTGGGCCTAGTCTGCTCTAAGAAAAGTCAGGTTTAAACAAATGCTAAAAGACCCTAAGTCGAGTGCCTCTTCCTCTAGTGCTTGCTCAAGCAGCACCGACAGGCAGTTTGATAATTTATTCTGAGATGGACAATTACACCTGTGAGTCACGGTCTATCCACCTATGTTTTTGTATGGAATGGAAACATAAAGACTTTTGTATATCAAAACCTTAGGAACCTGGGAAGAAAGGATAAGATTTGGAGAATCTTCAAACATTTTTCTGGTACATCAGTTACAAACTGGAACTTTCCTAACAAAAGACATTAAATTCCTGTCCAGCTCAGAAGAAGCAGAGATGAAGACATTCAATCCCAATGTAAAAGAAGCCACTTCCTCTCTTTCCTGTCCCTCATTAGGATGAGACACATCCCAATTCTCTCTACAGTCTGTAGGCTAAAGATCTGATGATCATGGCAGGACAGTACTTGCACACTGAGGATCACAGAGATTTTTGGGGTACATGTTTCTGTGTTTGTAAAATACACGGAAGAGTGAATGCGCACAGGAAACAGAAAGGCTGATAGAGATTGAACTTGTTTAAGCTGAAGAGCTAGGATCAAAGGTAGCCCAGGCTGTGAGTCTGTGAATTCAGGGGTTACTACAGCAAAGAAAGCTCCCAAAAGAAAACTCCATCCCACCCAGTCCACAAACTTCAGACAGTCTCATAGGCAAACAGAGATGCAAATATTCCTGAGATAGCAGGGACACTGACAGAGACCAATTGAACAAGATATTCCAATCAGAGGACATCGCTGTTAATTTTTAACAGTTGTAAATTGCATTTGCTTTATTAATTTGACTGGTTGATACATTGTCCATCTGTACTTGCATATCAGTCTGGAGTTACTGCGATCCGTGTGTGCACGGATTGCATCACATAGATATAAACATGTTTGGTCATCAAGTATCAATCCACAGAGGCAGTTTCAGTCATCTGCAGGTTACCAATCTGAGTTCATTGCCTTGGGATTTTAGAGCCCTGGTAAATGCAGAGGCTACTTGTGACCACCCCAATAATAAATTCCATGACTCTTCAAAAAAATTTTTGAAAGTAACATTTAACCCCCTTCCCATTAAACGTTGGAAGAGATGATTCCCATCTTCCTCTGTCTTCCCTTTGACTTTGTGCTATAAAACACCCAATGTGTGCAAAGGGAGTTAATTCATTGATTCACAAGCAATAAAGCATCAATTAGCAAGCCCAGAGCTCCTGAAAGTCTTCTGGAGCCCAGGATGTGAGCAGCAGGGCTGCAGGGGCACTGATGCCTCCAAAGTGATCTCTCTACCTTGGCCCAGCATTCATTATTGCATTGGTTACTGCAAGATGCTCAGGAAGGAATTCTCTCTAGCTAATTTGTCAAGACCTGTCAGGGATACTCTGTCCTGCAGAACGAGACATTCTTCAGTATGTGAAGCCTTTGGGAAATAGTTAAATAGAAATTTGGCACTGAAATATCAGGATCCATCTCTTCTCCCAGCTCAAAGCAGGATTTGCAGCTGGAGGGAATGCTTCATCAAAAGCATCACCTTTTAGTCATTCTGGCAGTGTTTTTAAGACTTTCTGTGGTAGTGCCTGTTAGAAATGCCTTGCACTGTGCATTTCAGAGGGTCATTTGTCATTCTTTTGTATGCAAGTGAAAGGAAATTTGAGCTAGAGCTGCTGATGCCCAGGTAAGCAAGACCACCATGGTTTAACTTAACAACAAACCTCATTTTGTGTGTTTTAACATGGTTGGTGTTAGCTGTAAAACCAAGAGAATCGCATCTCACATTTTCACCCACCATCATTTCATTTCAAACTGATGAACTAAGGAAATGCACTCAGCCCAACTGCTCGCAAACAGAACGGAATGGTCCAAAGCATTTCTGCTATTGTTCTTCTGCCTTTGTATCAGTTGGTTTAATAGGAGACAGGGACCTCACTTTGCAAGTCTTCATTTGCTGGCATGTGAATAGAGAGGCAGCTGCAGAACTTCAGCAGCGTATGTGATGTTTTTCCAAATGCCAGAGCATCAAACACCTTCTATGTGATCCATTGCTAAATATTTCAAATGCCAGCAGTCTCAGTGATTTCTTTGGGCAATGTGAGATGTTTTTATAGAATCACAGGGATCACAGAATTGGGAGAGTCAGGTGTGAGCAATCATTTGTGCTACAGTAGCATTGAAGGGAACCAGAAAATCTAGTCTAAGTAGGGAGAAAATGGGAAATAGTTCATCCAAAGCTCAAAGCACCGTCTGCAGCTGGAGGGAATGCTTTGAAGGAGGTCACAGCGCACCATTCTGGCTTGTCTGCAAGACTGTCTGTGGTAGTGCTGTTAGAAATGGGCTAGAATGGCATTTCAGGGGTCATTTGTCATTCTTTTGTACTGTGACAGGAAAGACTTTAACGTGGGCCCAGGTAAGCAGTGTTTTTATTGTTTATTCAGGACCAAACCCACTTTTGTGTGTTTTAACATGGGTGGTGTTAGGGTAAAACCAATAGAAGACTAATGTATCTCCCTGCTCACAAAGGCAGCCTTGATAAGGAAGCACTGCCAGGCTCAGGCAGGGATTCCCCTTGTCCTGCTGGGCCCTTCTCCATGCGCAGGGAGGGCTAAGGGACCATCCTCAGTCTTTGCCTGCATCCCAGAGCCCCCCTTCAGACACTGCAGAAGCAGCACTGAGGTCTCCAGGCAATGCCCCCCTGCTTCTCTTCTCCAGGCTGAAGAACCCCAACTTTCTCAGCCTGTCTCCATACAGGAGGTGCTCCAGTCCCCTGATATATAGGTCTGAGGAGAGCAGAGTAGAGGGGCAGGATCACCTTCTTCGACCTGCTGGTCACACTCCTTTTATATTTAAATCTCCAGAAGGATTTTTCTGGGGTGGTTTTCATTTTAAACCCACTCATCTTCAAAAAGTCTTCATGATGGAATTGGTGAAAATGCACACAAAAAGGTCAACATCTGCAGTTACACAGAGATTATGATACTCGTTTATTCATGCAAGGCTTTGCTTCAAATCTAATGAAGTCTGGTTTGCATCTTCATGTTTGTCTATTTAAACATGATTCTTACTGTGTGTGTGCAAGGAAAGACTGTGTTTCAGACTCTTGCAATGCAACTGTATATGACAAGCACATACACC